TTTGATAAATCTACACCTAATTCACTATTATATGAGTTATTGCCAAATATGAAAAAAATTCAAACTCACTTTTATGTGGGAAAAAATGTGTGTTATTTCTTCTGTCACGGGTGGGACAAAAAAAGATCCTGATTTTTGGAGCAGATATATTTTGCGGAAATTCAGCGAATTTATTTCACTTTTCTGTGTGAACTTGTTGTCCTGAAGTAAATAAAATGAACAACGAATACTAACAAAGTAAAAATTTACACAAAACTTATTGCTTTATTAGAAATTCCTCTGTCACGGGTGAGACAACGTTTGTCACGGGTGGGACACGTACGAATTTTTATATGAAAAGGAGCTTTTAGCGTGGCCTATATTAAAGATTATTTATTAAAAAATATAAGAAGCCAGGTAGAGGTTCAATTCACTCACGTTTTATCTTAGGATAGTGTTTTTTATATAGAAGACACCGCCTAGCATCGTCAGCAAAAAAAATATATTAAAAGTCAACGCGGTGTCCTAGTGTCGCTTTTACGTAGTTAATTTAATGGGCCGCTGTGGTGTAGTGGTAAGCAGTGCGCGCTTCCACTCCGCAACACCTGGGTTCAAACCCTGGTCAAAGCAACATCGCCAAAAATATAGAAAAAAGGTTTTTTCTTAACATCGGTCGTCCCTCGGCAGGCAATGGCAAACTTCCGAGTGTATTTCTGCCATGAAAAACAGCTTCTCATAAGAATATAGTCGCCGTTCGGAGTCGGCGTAAAACTGTAGGTCCCTCCGCTTTGTGTGACAACATCAAGGCGCACGCCACAAATCGGAGGAGAAGCTCGGCCAAACACTAACATATGTGTAAGCGCCAATCTATTATATTATTATTATATAACTGCATACCTAGAATTTTTCTAGAAATTCTGAATAAAAAGTTTAAAAGTTGTGGGTGTAATAGCTAAAGCTTGTTGTTTGACACATGGATTTTTGTGTAGCTGGTTATGTTATGTGCTACACTTTTATAAAAAAAAAAAAACTATAAACATTAAATAAACAAAAGAAAAAACCCTCAACCCTCATCGTTCTTTGTGTACGACCATATCGACTGCTGAGTGGAAGATCGACCTATCTCGGCAGCCAGTTCGAAAACGCCCTATCTCAAAAAACTTTTCAAAAGCGCCCTATTTCAGAATTCAATTGAAAAACATCCTATCTCAAAATTCGGTTCAAAAAGGCATTATCTCACTTCAAAATGTATTGAAAATATGCTGATGTAGGGGGTTTTCAAATCGGCACCTGTGATAGGGCTTTTTTGGAACGAATTCTGAAATAGGGCGTTCTTGAAAAGTTTTAAGAGATAGAGCGTTTTCGAACTGGCCGCCGAGATAGGTCGATCTTCCGCTCAGCCATCGATATACAGTTTTTGAATTTGAATAAAAAAAAAACTATTTGTCGAAATTATTTGTGTTTTGGTTAACTACATTTAAAATCAACGTATAGAGATTGCGGGCATGCATTGTTCGTGCCCAGTAGAAATAGTTACTAACCGGTATCTTATCTCGTATACAAACAGATTTGACACTTCTAATCTGATTTCTAAGAAAAATTCCAAGTATGCAGTTATATAGCCTATTCAATTTTAGTTTAACAAAGTGCAAATTTGAAGTTGCTAAAAAATCGCAATTATATTTTGTATGGAGAAAAGAAGCGAGACCTACCATTAAAAAAAAAAAAAAAACAACGCGATTTTCCAAAAACTGAATGGGCTATATAACACATTTTCTTAAAAATCTGATTAGAAGTGTCAAATCTGTTTGTATACGAGCGCATACACAAGAGCCAATTCGAACAATTTTTGAGGGGACCGATGAGGGTTAATTTAATCAGCTGACCACAAGGGTATATATGTAACAGGGCAAGTCCGCGTACTCTAGGTTTAAGAAAGTGTTATTTTCGCACTAATAACTCAAACCATATAACAACATTAAAACTTGTTTAAGCACCCTTCCCAGAATGCAAAAGAAGGCGACTCCGTCCGTGCATTTTCCCCCATCTAAAGTCATTACTCTTTTCTACACATTTCTCTTGTTTCTTTGATAAGTTGTGTAAATCAAGTGTGTAGCAAAAAAACAAAATAAAATATTGTAAGCAGCAAGCTGGTCGGAACTCGCGCGCCTCATTGTCAACAAGCCAACTGGCTTAACTGGATAATGTTGCTTACCTTTAGTAACTGAACACCAACTGAACACTCGTACCTACCGTTTTTTGGTTTCAACGTTGTTGTTTCAGACATCGCCGTCATATATGTGGCTGTTGTCGCCGTGGCAATGCCCATTGTTGTCGCCTCCACAGACGCCGCAGCAACGGTGGCGTACAGGAGTATGACGCAGAAACCCAGCATTAGCACTCGCCAACTGAAAGTAAATGATGGGAAAAGGAAATTAGTTGCATGCAATTGGAGGCGTAAATATGTGCATACATATACATACATATGTTTGTACATGTGTGCATATTTGTGCAACGTTATGATTTTACATGCTTCCGTATGTACATAGTAACTTTCACTAATTGGTTAAATGCATATAAATTGTGGGTAGGTCATAATGATAGATGTGAAGGTTGCAAGAAGTGTAGAGATATTATTTATTTGCTATAAAGAGAATTTTGCAATATGTCATTATTACGAGCATCGAGAAACCGCAATGAAGCAACGAAGACTAAATACATAAATACTGTTTTTAAAAAGTAATTAATTTAGTCTTAAACTACCAGTAAACTGTGGAAATAGCGAGACTCTAGAAAAGTTCAAAGCTGGTGGTGGAATGTTGGTTGGCGCATTTGCCAGTATGTAGGCCAATTTGCTTGCCCGAAGTTTTTAACTATAATGTGCCAAGACAACTAAACCATAATCAGTGCTTTCTTTATCTTCTCCACGGCTTACAACCTCGTTAATGACTGGGGAGCAGAAGCGAGCCTCCACTGGACAGGCTAGGCTCTTTGGAAATACTTTCACTTGAGATAAAACAAATCTTTTGAGTATAGCCAACATTAAGTTGATTACAGGGCATCTAACCTGTAGAAACTATCTCCGCCCAGTCTCACATGCATCGGATTGGCCTGGTGGCGAAGACGAAATGCTGTCTACGTCTTGACTAGACTCACAGAGCAATTCTGGCTATGATAAATGCAAGCCATTTGTAAATGAATTGAAAGGCTGTAGGTAAGGTAGACACAATTTTTCAAATACTGATGGATTTACTTTAGTCTTGGTATCAACGGGTTTTTGGGCCCGCTGACTACGAATATGAAGTCAAATTTTGCACCAGGTGGTGTACGTAGTAATATTTTATTTAACTTATTAATTATTTAATTGATTTTAACTTTTGAAAACGTCGGCAACTCTCTTTAAAAAATATCCTATCTATATCCGATCTGCGCGCCAAACGTCATTGAAATCTGCATGGCCGTTTCAGCGTGAAAGAGCAACATACTACTCACTCACAAATTTTCACATTTATAATTCGGGCTCGGAATCTCATGCAAATGCATGTTTTTATTGGGCATCTTCAAATGGAAATAGTTAAGTTATCTTTACGAATTATGAAATTTCCTTTAAAATGGCATTCAATCGTTGGTGCATATTTTGCAAAAATACCTGGTTTTGCATATTTGTCGCGCATATTTTAGTATATTTTACAATAAATGTATATGCTTTTCGCATATTTTTGCCTTTTTTATTTACACCCGTTTGATATCTTTCGACAAAAAAATAACCTATAATCTTTCCCCGAATAATCGTCCGAATATATTCTGGATAGCCAAACGGCCATTAAGGCACTCTCTTGTACCTCTGTTAGATCTCAACTAGTGGAGAACTGTAGGAAAGAGCTGGTCTACATCTCTGATCAATACGAAATTACCCTAATATGGGTCCCGGGACATAGGGACATTTACGGAAACGAGGCAGCGAACGAACTAGCAAGGTGCGGCGCTGAAAGTGTCCCACGCAAAAATTACCGAAATTTATCACTTGAAAGCCAAGCAGAGGTGGAACCGTACAGGAGCGTAGAGAATTACCCGGCAGTTCTGGGTGTCCTACGACCCACTTAAAACCAAACCTCTCCTAGGAATGAGCAAAGAAGATTCCTACAAACTTACTGCAGTGTGCACAGGGTACTGGCCCGTTCGGGTACATGCCGAAAGGATTGGATTACCCTTTAACAGGTTCTGTTCCAGTTGCGATGACCCTTGCTCGAAAGAGGCCGTCGACACACTTCCTGTGCGAGTGTCCAGCCCTTGCAAGGATGACTCTTAAGACACTCGGCAAGCCATTCCTGCAGAATGTTTTAGAGTCCAGCTGCCTCACTCTGTATGACGTACTGAAATTACTTAAAGCTGCCAAGTGGCTGTAGGTTGCACGAGTTGTGGAACAAAAATGAAAATCCACTTAAACCAACCCCAAACATTCATCGGAACCACTATTAAACTGTGAATGTTTCTATTTACAGCAGACAGTCTGCTTGATTATAAACTAATCTTATACATACATAAATAACGTCGATTAAAGTACAAAACCGCGTATCAACAAAATGCAAAACCGCGTTGATTATTGAAATATTGTAAATAAATATAATGAATTATTTCCGGTTTAACTAAAATATAATTAAATATTGAAAGGGAAAATTTTTGCAAAAAGTACCTCATTTTAGGAACGACCAACAGAGTAACAATAAGAATACATACTACGTATGTATTTTGGAAATTTTCCTCCTTTCAATTTTAATATTTCATTGAGGCAGTAAATTGTTTACTAATATTTTTTATAATTTCGTGGAAGGGCTCTTATCAAGGGCCTTTAACTTGACCTGCACTGACGCATGCATGTATTTTTTATGTTTAGAATGTCATATTTTTCACATTCGCGAATGCGAATGCGAATTTACTTGGCATTGCACGAGAGTTGTCAAATAAGGAATCTGTTAAATGAGTTTTGCGTGTAAGCGGTTACCCAACGCACAGCATTACATATGTATGTAAAAGTCTGTTGGTTTTTGATTTCTACGTAAAAGTGACATGCTATGCAGTGCAGTGCAAAGTATGCATAACTGAACTGGGATTTACTGAGAGTTGTTTATATTAAAAGGTTAAATATTTCGTACTTGCAGTTCGACAACACCAAGAAATAAAGAAAAACGAAAAATCATTAAAAATTCCTCCCATGTGATTTATTTAATTTTACATATGACTTATGAGGCATTCTTTTTCATATCGGGCACCAAATTTCGTGTCACACTTTCTATTGGCTTAAAATTTTTTTATGGGTTCTATACATGAAGTAAACTAACACGTATTAGAGGAATTTTTCTTTTCTTTTTTCTTCAGAGATATGATCTGTCAAAGTTTGAAATTTTTCGTGATTCTGACGATTCATGTACTTCTTTAAAGCGTTATATCTCGGGGCTCTGCTCATCGTAGAGACTTCATCTTAACGTCGTTTTAAAGCTAAAGAAATATTTTAAAAATATTTTTAAAATGTTTCTTGGAAAACGCCCATTTTATTAAACATCTTTTTTTATATAGAGAATTAAACAAGGATTATGATGATAGAATTCTAAATCCCTAACTTACTGATCTTCACTATGGAAATCAACTTCAAAATGTTCAACTGTTAATAGCTAAGTTAGCTTTAGCTTTAAAACGGCGTTAAGATGAAGTCTCAACGATGAGCAGAGGTTGGATGGTTTTATTCCCAGAGAAACCATTCAGGTCCCTTCCGATGTCAAATGTCTAGGCGTAATTCTGGATGCCAAACTTTCATGGAAGTCTCACGTTGAGCATAAGACCTCTAAAGCATTGGCGGCTCTTTGGCAATGTAAACAAGCCTTTGGTAAAACATGGGGTCTGCCACCAAGGGGTATCCTCTGGATCTACACCTCGGTGATCACACCCGTTATCAGTTATGCATCAGTGGTATGGTGGAGCAGACTCACACAAGCTGCTGGTCAAACTTCAAAGCACAGTCGCTGTGACGGGTGCTTTCTCTACAACACCTGCTCTTGATGCTCTGCTAAACTTACCATCATTATGCACCTTTATACCTGTGGAGGTCTTAAAGGCCTCCTACAGGCTTAAGAGAAATGGATGTGAGTATGATAATAGGTGGGGCGAGGAGGAGTTTGCTGCTGGCAGAGACCAAGACAAAAGGGTATTTTTAATGCCCAAGAATAGAACGCCACCTTTGCTGAGGATATTCTACAAGGTTGAGGTCCCTAAGGCTGAATGCTGTTTTAATTGCAGCACCGAGTCTGGGCTCATTCAATGGGAATCAACTTAACTTTTAACTTTTCTCTTGAGGAATATGCCTCTGTATTTCAAGCCGACATATTTGCAATCCTCAAGGTCATGGACTACGTGCTGGAAAATAGCTGGAGATGCAGTAGTTTACGTGCTAGGTATTTGCTTTCATTGAACAGATTGGACTGCAGACAACTTGGTGGACCGCTGACTGGCGCAAACACCTGACTGTGATCGGCATTTGACCTTCCGTTTATTTGTAAATCAAGTAGATTTAAAAAAAAATATATTAAAATTAACATGAAAACAGTACAAAGGGCAGCATGTAGCCTGAGTGCTGTTTTCTGAAATCATTTTTTTTGTACTTAGTTCTGACAAATAAAAAGGATAAAGATAAAGATATTGAAATTGAAATAGATCAAGATTAAGATTAAGATTAAATTTAAAATTAAAATTAAGATTAAAATTAAGACTAAGATTGATATTAAAAATAAGAATATGACTACGATTAAGGCTGAGACTAAGATTGAGATTGAGATTAATATTAAAATTAAGATTGAGAATTCGATTGAGGTGTAGACTGTGACTAAGATTAAGGCTAAGAAATTTGTTCCTTACTATGCTGAAAAATACTGAGCTGTACGCATAGTATGTAGGAAGAAGTTTCACTTGAGGAGCGCGTGAGATCTAGACACGACTTTGTTTTGATAGCCTACGGTCTATGTAAAGCAGGGATCTTACGATTTGTACATTTGTACAGATTTGTACATTTTCACAGATTTGTACATTTTCACAGTTACAGAGCGGTGTTGTTTAGAAAGTTGTTATTAAGCGGAACCCCTTTTTTTCTAAACAACACCGCTCTGTGACTGCCGAAGTGTACAAATCTGTACATATCGTCGTCTGGGTAAAAGATGGTCGTATGTTAACTTCGGCAGGTTGTGGGAAATCGCGATTCAAGTTTGGAAGGCAATTTCTCAAAAACGCGAAGATATATTTTCTCCAAAGTCTCTGAAAATGTTACTAGTTCACAATATTCTTAAATTATTTAATTTGTAATGTTTATTGTTAATTAGTTTTAAGTTTGTGAAGTATTTTCTTTAGTAAAATTTTGTCGTTA